TTCCAACAATCTGCCTTGCTCTTCTTCCAACACTGTGGCCTCACTGGTCTTCCATTAGCCTGCCTCACCAGTTTTCCGATGGTCTGCCTCACTGGTCATTCAACACTCCGCCTTCCACTCCATATGGCCTTGTCAGACATTCAATATGCTGCTTTGAGCCTTAAACAGAATAGTTATCCTGGCTTTCTTTAACCTATTGCCATTATTACCTGCCAACAGTGTAGAATCATGCACTAGAATCACAAGCTGAGTACTGTAAAATGCTTAAACCACATTAGAAGTGGCATGCTCATGATTACTATACTCCATCTTCAGATGAGCAATTATCAGCTGACATTCTGACATTAACAACTCCTACACATGACAGTCTCTTTTTTTTTAGCCACGCACTTCAAAACAATTCAACAATTTATAACCTTACCATTGTACTAATGTCAATTTGAGACAAACTGCTTTTCTTTATATAGAGTAGACAATAGAGTATATATACAGTATATATACAGTGTGTGTATACACAGATACATACACACACATACTATATATATATATATATAGGGGGTGTTGGTATAAGCTCATATATACCCACAACAAAGCATGGACCTGCAGATGTCTTCAGGCATTCTTCTAGAAGCTTCATCCGCAGTCTCTGTAGTTCTGGACTGTCCCACTCTTCAGGGTCCACACCCCAGTACAGGTCCACCACCTGAAACACACACAGATGCTATAAGTGAACTAAACTTACATACAACAATATTGCATACTACAGTTGTATTGTAATTATGCCTTGCTTTAATTATGATACAGTATAGTTTAATACACTGTGGCTTTCCTGTAGTAATTTATGGCCACCTTAGGTATTAAAATGCTGATATACAAGATATTAAAATGATTACAGTATGATACTTTAGGGAAATTAAAGCCACAGCCACAGTTTCACTGTGTTTAACTATGAAATTAAAATGGTTTTACATAGTTAGAACATGACTGAATAGCACAGTAACCATGATTGTACTTAAACACTGTTATGTTATCATATTATGACATTTTTCATAAGCAAAAAAAATAAAATAATAAAAAACAAACAAGAAAAAAACAACAACATTTGCACAGGTCAAATTGAGCAAATAATTATTAGTTAATTATTATTTTAAATTTCCCTTGTTTCTTTAATTTCTCTTATTCCTGGAATGTATTAATTGCCATTTCCCAAACACTCCTACAGTACATCTTTTAAAGAACAGAAACGGTGCAAGAGAGTCAGGAAGTGAAAGAAAGAGTGAGGATGAAAAGGAAGTCTACATGGAATGTCTCAACAGGGAGCTAAGTCTTGGTTTCACACAGCAAACAGATTTGACAGCATACTGCTAGAAATGAACAGTGTTAAATAGACGAGGGAGAATGGTCTTTCTGTGAACACTTTCTTTCCCATCTCTCATTTGTATTTCTATTATTTGCTGTTTGTCATGTGCATGTTTCGGTAGTGGTGGTTGGTGATAGAGTGTGGTTAGAAGTGTAAAAATGGCATATTACTCAATAACAGTGTTACAGTCTCCTGTGGAGCATCTTAAACTTGCCTTTCCCCAAAACATCGAGAGCAAGCTTGGCCATCTGGGTGTAATATACTCACACATACACAAATGCACACCTCAGAGCTATGATTATCAGTGATATCTAATACTTTTCAATAGGCTTCCAGTTGCCAAGGTATGTGCAGCAGGTATGATAGCAGTGTGAATTAAGATGTCTTGTGTTGAGGTTTTATTTCCATATTGTGTCAGTCAACATCATATCTCTAGCATAGAACATGTGAACGGATTTCAGATCTTATCTGATACCCGTCCTGAGTTCAGCCCTCTTACGGAGACATACAGTATCGCATGAGACTGGTACATTTCGGCATCCCTACCTGCTACAGGTCCAGTGCATTTTGTATGTGTGGATGAGAGACAGTATATGTGTATTGGGTGTGGTTAAAAACAACTTAATGACAAGAGACAGGACATTTCCTGAGCACCAGAATTGCAGGGCGTGGGGATGTCCCTAGACACATTTGTCAAAATCAGTTTTGCTGACAGACATAATCCAAACAGTAAACTCGTTGTCTGTCACTTCGGTTCTTGCTCTTTGTGTGTGTGTATTTGTGAAGGGAATGAGGATTTACATTGCAATTATTCTTCTATTTAACCAATTATTAGACGGCTTAACCATCAGGTTTGATCATATATAAATTTTATTCACATAGCTTGTCAGACTACCTCTCACTTCCCTGGACTGAATTGCAGAATGTACTATCAATCCAGATTTGATCCTTTTTCCCATAATTAGACACACACACACACACACACACACACACATACACACACACATACACACACACATAATTTATGCTTTGAAGCAATGGAGCACTTTTCTCCCAAAGGCAACTCTGACACAGTTTCTTATGACAAATGCTGACTTCAAAATCCAGTGAGCCATCCATACTTCACCATTAGGGAACAATACAACCAACCTTCATACCTCAAACCCTCTGAGACTGTAAGCTCTGAATTTATGTAGAAGGACCACACGCTCACACATATACCACAGAGCTTTCATCTAATATAGGTTGGCAGGAAGGATGGATTAACAGAATAGGTAATTAGGATATGACAGGAAGTCCCTAGATACTTATTGACAACACAATAAAGCAACATCTGAATGAGTGCACTAATGACCAGCTCATACTGTATGTTCCTTCTTTCTTCTGGTTTCCAAGCATTCAATTTCATTCAGTTTTATTTGTATTGTGCACTTTAACAGTAGACACTGTCATGAAGCATCTTTACAGAAATATGGATGTAAATGTAGATCCCTAATGAGCAGACCAGAGACGAAAATGGCAAGAAAGAAAACTCACTGTTGGATAAGATTTTTGATAGAAATAAAACACAAGGGTAATAAAATAGGGAGACTGAAAATTTTGTGAGAATATAGGAAAGAACAGAGTCACGCTCTCTTCCTTATAGACAATGTCTCTTAAAAGTTAATTATGGCAAGGCCTAGGGCCTGACCAAAAAGAGGAAGTGCAACACACAGCACACACACCCAAGAGTATGAACTCACACATACACAGACCCAGAGTAATCAGAATAACAAAGTAATGGCTAATGATTATTTTACTAAATAGAGTTACCCATGATAAAGGAGAAAAAGCACACAGGTTATAAATGTCCTCATTCATTAACAGCTCAGACATGACTTAAAAATCAGAAGTTGGTCTTAAAAAACAAAGCACAAGTGCAAACGCAACAGGTCTCGAGATGTCTGAGGCAAAAAAAAAAAAAAAAAAACCCAGACAGGATATCACCTAGACATCACATGTAATGGTATTTTGGGAAAATCAGGGGTGTTTCAACTGTATAAAAATGGAGCCCCATTTCAGGGGACTCTGAGATCACTCTGGGACGTCCCTCTGTGGGGACCTTGTGTGGTGAGCAGCAATAAACCCTTGCTTTTCCTATTCATGGGTTTCTGTGATTTTGAAGGTGCAGGTGACAGTCATACCAGGTGATTACACCGAGTGAAACACCCCTCAAATTTGTTCTCCATTTGGTTTGATGCTCTATACGGCCAAAGGTTTGTGGACCCCTGACCATCACATCCATTTGTGCTTTTTAGGCATCCCATTCCAGATTTAGTTCCCCTTTGCTGTTATAATAACCTCCACTTTTCTGGGAAAGCTTTACGCTCGATTTTAGAGCTTGACTGTGGGATTTGTCCATTCAGTCACAAAAGTATTAGTGAGGTCAGGGATTGCTGTTGGGTGAGGAGGCCTGGCACACAGTCAGCATTGCAATTCATACTAACATTGTTCAATGGGGTCAATGAATGTCTTCATGTAGCTCCCTTTGTACATGTTTGGGCCTTTTAGTTCCAGTGAAGGGAAATCCCAATGCTACAGCATACAAAGACATTCTAGAAAATCATGTGCTTTCAACTTTTTGTCGACAGTTTGGGGTACCTGGATGGTCAGGTGTCAATTTACTTTTGGCCATATAGTGTTTTTTTCAGCTCACTTTGCTGTGACATCAATAACACATGAAATACAGTTGTGGGTATAATGAACTTGAATGAGGTGGGTTTTTTTCTTGGTCATCCTTTTTTTTTCAACAAAATGCCTTGGGAAGAGAAACTAAACATTTCTATGTCTATTAGCCATAGAACCGAGCACCCTAAATATACTGTAGCGGAGGTGATTAATGTATGAATAAAAAACTGGCCATAGATCAGTGCCTCCAGTTTTCTAAACATAAACCTGTGCAGCTTCTGTAGCAGATCATCTGTTATGACTTATCCAATCCCATGGATTTATGTAAATTATTGGAATGATGGCATCTTCTCAGACTAGAGACATTAGGTCAGAAAAGGAAGAGTTTTCACAGACTTTCATAGAATTGTTATATACCCCTTCTTGTCTGAGTCACTGATCACATGGCTTATAAAAAAAAAAATTAAAAATAGAAACTGAATGTGTTAATTCTCTCTACATCAAATTCAAAACAGAACTTGGAGAACTGTTCTCATCATTGTCATGTTAGTGTCTTATCCAGAAGCAAGAAATTTTTATGTACCTGGGCCTTTACAAATTTTAGGTGAATGCCCAAAGTCTAGCATCTGGTGGTATGCATATTTGTTCAGACCAGGCCTTACAATGGTCATTATCCACCTAGAAATATTATCCATTTATCCATCCATCCACCCATTTGCTTATCCTACACAGGGTCATGGGGAGCCTGGCGCCTATCCCAGGGAACTCGGAGCACGAGGGGCACGCTGGGAACACTCTGGACAGGGTGCAAACCCATCGCAAGGTACAATTGCACACACACTCGCACACTCATTCACACACTACAGACAATTTAGAGATGCCAATCAGCCTAAAACGCATGTCCTTGGACTGGGGAAGAAACCCGGAGGCAACCTCGGAAGCACAGGGAGAACATGCAAACTCTGCGCACATAGGGCAGAGGCGGGAATCGAACCCCCAAACCCTGGAGGTACAAGTCAAAAGTCAAACCACTAAGCCACTGTGCCCCCCAGAAATATTATCGTTTCTGGTCCGTTTTAATAATAAATAGATTTAAAATTTCATCCAGTAATAGTGGCTTACAGTCAGAACCCATTAAACACATGCAGTATAATAAAGGTAAGTAAATATTTTTGGCATAATAATTGGCTAGGGCTGTGTCATCATGAACACGGATCTAAGAATTTGTATGCTTATTTCTATGTAAATCCCTCACGGAGACAGACAGAGGATTTAACTATGCCTATCTTTGAAGAAGAGACTTATGAGCAGCGTAAAGTGTCACCATGTTGGTGTTGAGGTTAAGACATACTAAAAAGAACATTTTGCTGCTCTTTATATCATACTGATATGCAGTGGGGAATAAATTCACAGTTCCTAAAGGTATAATCATTAGGCTTTATGTTTATGCTTAGTTATTTATGAGTATGCCATAGAGCTTGGGATGAAGCCAGGCAGAAAACAGGAAAAGAAAATAGATCAGCATTGCTTGAAGACTAAGACATATATTTATATAAACTAATATCAGAGAGCTAGCTGTAAAGGCTGTAGTTACCAAATAAGTTTAATGATCTTGTTCTACGCTATATGTGTTTCTCTATGATTGCAACCCATGCAGTACTAAACTCGAATTCTTTGCTTTAATGAATGATGTGACCTATAACTAAATCATTAAGCTCTTAATATATCATGAAACCTAATGTGGGTTTGATGCTGTAGCTGGAAGCAGTGCATGTGCTTCATAAGTGCCTTCAGTTTTGTGGCTGATGCTATTCATTAACCTTCTGTAAAGAGATTTCAGTAAAATGCAAAACAGTATGTGCTGCAAGTTGATGGCTCATCATTGAATGGCAGCTCAAATGATAGGTGTTGATTAATTTTCTGGTACAGCGTGGCTCAGACGGTTATGCTATCTATACCGCTTATCCAACACAGGGTCATGGAGATCCCAGTTTGTTTGTTTTTTTACTTTTTCACAGCACTGAATATGGGAGTAAAAGAAAATGCCCTGCATTCTCATGATCAGTTGGGAAGTGGGAAGTTTCTGATCTCTGAGTAGGACAAATTAATATCATTCAGTTTGCAATTTGAAAGTCTGACTTCTCAAAGCTCAATTCTCTGAGATCACTTCAATGTGGTGATGCCATACTGCAAAGTAAGAAAAAGAATAGTTTTACCCTTGTATGCAGATTTAAGGGTTTCATGCTTTTTTCCAGTTCTATTAAGATTAAATTATCATATGACTTACACTCAGTTTTAAAGTAAAAAAAAAGCACTCAAAGAGCTCTTATTGGGTGTTTTTATACACTATTCTAGGGCTTTTATTAAATTTACATAGGTGATTTATACTGAGATCCCAGATGTGATGAACACACATTAATGCACTCACTATCTTCTAACCAATTAGAAACAATGCTTGTCTGTTGATATTTTATCAACGTATTCTACTCTGAGACATAAAAGTTTTTAACACCCGATATATAATGGTATATTATAATACACGGCACCCAGGTTCACTAGAAATGTCTTTCAGTTTCACAAAATCCAAATATATTGTCTTGTTTTTACCCATCCACAAACACACTGTGCCATACTGTATGATACACTTACTTACAGTTCCTTACTAATTCAATGATTTACTCTTCAAATCACAGAAAGCCTTCAGAGTGACGTGAAAGTGCTCAGGAGTGTTGGTTAGGCAGCTTTCCAACCACTGATTATACGTGGAGGTGTCACTTTAAGAACAGACAAATTATAGTACTGATAGCCTCCATTTAGGGGCAATTAGAGAAGAAATATGACATGGTCAATTATGAGGAGAGGCAGAGAGGGAGAAACAGTGTGTGTGTGCGTGTGTGAGAGAGAGGAGGGAGGGGAGAGAGGTTTGTTTCAGTATATATAAGCAATGCGTGGAGCAGAGCAAAGGTAAAATACAAGAGGGAGAGAGACAGAGAGAAAAATTAAAAGCCTTGTCAAAGTTCTCCTGATTTACAAGGCTACCCACAATGCCCTGCACCTTGAGTGCCTCTGCAATTAGACTACTGCTATGGCAACCAGCCACCTAGACTGCACGCCTTTTCAATTTATGAGAAAGAGGGGGGAAGTGAGAGAGAGAGAGATAAAATGCCTTAACACCTCCAATGTCTGCAAATAATGTAGCCGATATGTAAAAACTAAACCCCACGAATGGTGTAAAAGATCCGTTTTGATTTGAAAGATTCGTTTTTTCATTCTAAAGACAGAAGGAGAGCTGAACAGTGTGCAAAGCATTTACGATCTCCATCAATCATACTTATCCCTGCATTAAAGGATCATTTCTTTTCTCCAGGAGATGAACTGACACACTTGAGTACGATACAAACCATTTTAATTCCAAACATGCTGAAGGAACAACGAGAGACACAACAAATACCAAATAAGCAGCTTGTTTGGAAGCAGAGTATCTGACTTTGGGTATTCAACCCCCCCCCCCCTCTCTCCCTCTCACATTCTCTCTCTCTCCCTCACTTTCTCTCTCCTTCTCTCTCTCCTGATCTCTCTCGTTTTCTCCCTTTATCTCTCTCGCTCTCTCTCCCCTTCAGCTGATTTCCTTCTCAGTTCCAATCATCTTCTTTATAGGTCCCTGAGGTGGAACTGGCAGAAGAATAGCATACACAATTTGGCTTAAATAGGAACCCTAACACATATTCTAATAATTTGAATCTCTCTATATATTTATCAAATCTTCAAGAAAACTTAGGAGACATTTCTCAGACTTCCACCCTTTTTTTCCACTTTACATAATATCTGCAGGCTAATTTCGAGAGGCAGCCATGAAAGCTCTACCCTCCGCCTGTAATCATGACACACTGTGGTTAGCGTCGTCATGGCAGCCTGCTATCATTAATGCTGATGGGTTGCTTTTTCCCAGAGCTCCCTTGCTGGATTATTCAGGTTCGGTGTGCATGTGTGTGTGTGTGTGTGTGTGTGTTGATATAATTAACTAGAAGATCACCAGCTAATTAAAAGCTTCTGCATGGGTCCTATGTTTGCTGTGAGCCTTTGGCCATGGTCAGACTCAAGAAAATGAGCATAAAGGATAAAAATACTGTTATTTTCCATTAATTGGAAAACAATCAACAGCAGAGTGGCATGATTTTTGGCGTGAACACTGTATTTGATTGTTTAACTTCTAATAGCACGTCCCAAAGTATTTTATTCTTCATATGCCATAACAATTAGCTAGTGATTACAATTGTTACTAATTGAGGATGACAAAGCTTATAGTTTTTATTGTTTATAGTTGTGGAACATCTGTTTTTAATCACATAAGTTATAGCCGCTATAAACAAGACATTCCGTCGTTATTTTTACTTCTCTTGAGGTTAATAAGACAAAAGAAAAGCACAGCTTCTCAAGCCCTCTCTCCTGAATACTTTCCCATGTCAGAAAACCCAAAGTTCCAGCTTTACTTGTGACTTTTACAAAGTGCTGACACTGGAGAGTCCTTCCAAAAAATGTAAGTAAACGCATCTTCACTGAACCCTCACCATATTAGCAATTCCATGGATTTTTATGCGTACACTGTACAAGTCCCTGTGTACGCAGTTATTACAGAAATGATCATGTATTACAATGAGCATATAATATAATATTTCCCTGAAGAAGTAAATACTGTCAAGGCCATGCTGACAAGGCAAATTAATCCCTTCTGACCAATCAGAATCGAGCAAACTATGCTGTGACATACTGTGATATATAATATACAGTATTGTATTAAATACATGTGGTGCAGTATGTTAACTGTGCAGAGCCTATCCAATAGCCAATAACCAGTTTGTTTCATCAAAGTAAATGGTAAAAATGAGCGAATCTCCATGTAGCACATCATAATTAGTCCACACATCATCCTGTCAACATACAGCTACACATACAGTATACGCCTCATACACCAGCTGCTGTACTTTCCTCCTTATTGTAACACTATCAGAGCTCCTCTCTCAGCATACATGTGTGTGTGTGTGTGTGTGTGTGTGTGTGTGTGTGTGCGTGCAAAAATAAACAGGGAAGACACCCAAGGCATCTTCTCTTTCTCGCTCTTCTCCACACACACACACACACACACACACACACGCACGCACACAGATTTGCTTCAACATCCGTTCCAGGAATGCCACAGGAAATAGAATCAAGTAACAGTGACCAGAAAGAATCGTGATTTGCCACATCATATTTACCAGCTGAAAGAATCTGCTGGCCTGTCATCCCCCTACCCACAAACAAGCGTACCAAACTGTACTTCTTCTTGTCACTGGAGTGCTACCATCAAGGGGACACCTTTTGTAACCTTAATATGTACCTTCATGGCTTTAAAATGATTTAAGGTACATAATCAGACCTAAATTACCACTGATGTATCTTTAAAGCTTTACTCTGAAAGCTAATGAAAGGTGCACCAAATCCCCCTTGCTTCATTTGGCTCGCAATAACTTTTTTCATGGTTAATACCTACTGTGCTGTGCTGATGTGCATCACATCAGCGTCTAAAACAATTCAGAAGCACATCATTTCTTGTGCGGTCAGTGGCGTAACCAAAAATTTATTTCAGTGGGATGACAAAATATAACAAATAAAATCATGATTGTCTTCCTGTAGAGATCAGGATTTCTACAATTAAACTGTGTGGTTGTCAGGTGGATGTCAGACAGCAGTGTTTAGGTGGATGTCAAACAGCAGTGTTTAGATGAATTTCAGACAGCAGCAGGGGTTGTGATGCAACCAATTTTGTTATATAATCATTTATGGCACAATCTACCATCAAACAATCTTTCCATATTAATATCATTGCCATAAAATACCTTTATAACTGTTCTACCCAAAAGGATTCAAATAATGTTAATACTATGGGAAAATGACTTATTTATATTATAAATCCTGATCTATTTTTCTTTTGCACTAAACTCCAGCAGGCTACGTTACTGACTCTCACCTCCATATCTCTGTGCTTATAGTGGCGCTACCAGGCTAG